GTCCAGTCTTCCTTCATTTCCTTTCCGAAGTACTTCAGTAATACCATACCAAGTACTCCTTCTTCCTCGCACCAAGCTGTGACGTAACCCTACATAGCAAGGAGACAGCAAGGGGACACAATTTCCTCGTTTGCAGTATCGTTTTGCGTTTGCATAATAGGACCATCCATAGGAGCACTTACGGAAATATCGATCGATGTATTCATGGTTGGTTTATAATGACAGACCTAAATGTATGTTTGAAACCTACCTTTAACTTACTTCAGTAGGTATCTATTGAAAAGTTCAGATATATATTTTTAAAGGTTCTTACCGTTGAACGCTTTCCTATGGTATCTTCTTGAAAGATATCCACTACCTCGATCAGCTTTAACCTAGTCTTCACTAGTTTCCTTTGCTGTTCCTGTTTTTCCACAATTTTTTTAATCGGCCGGGGACTGGATTCAGCAATGGAGACTAAAGTGTTTTCAGCATTTGTTCTCAGGCAGTCCATAGATTGATCTAGAAATAGAAAGGAAAAGATAATTTATCACGTTAACGGAGTTCGTAGCCAACTCGGACAAAAGGTTCAGATAAGGAACCATGACAACTTCATACTGGGCTCTCAGCTTTCTGAGAGGTCTTTTTACATATGCAACTTGTTGTAACTTTCAAAGTGAATATTGTACTGAAAGTTGTACATTTGGAAAACATGAAGATCCAAAAAGAAAAGTGCATTTTTTCAAAGAAATCATCGCCTACTAAGTCCATGGAAAATGTAACAACAATTGAATATAAAAAAGTGAATCTTGTCATTTTTCGACCCACCTCCAGCGCGACTATTCAAAGACTTCATAACCATGCCAGTAATATTTTTCCTCTTTCTGGCTAAGCTTTGTTTCGTTCTCTCTGTCGAAAATGTATACAGGATTGGATTAAGGGAAGAGTTGAGCGGAAGAACAAACACTGCGATCCACACGAAGGCAATTTTGTCCGGATCGTAGAAATTTCCTGTCAGGGACAAAATGCTGATAATTATTATAGGTATCCAGCAGCAGAAGTCGGTCATCACAATGAAAATAAGTCTCTTAGCCATTGCAGATTCTTTTTTCATACTCGTTGATCGAACAGCGCGGGCAGAGCGCTTGACCGTCCAAAACATTAAGATGTACGCCACTAAGATAAACGTGAACGAAACGAAGTTTAAACCGATGAAAAAAGAAGCGGAATATTCCCAGCCGGCAGGGGTTCCTT